CACTATCGAAAAAGACTATATTCTTAAATTAAGAATATTTTCTTAAATAAAGAATATATTCTTAATTTCAGAAGAATATCATCTAAAATCTTTAAGAAGATTTTTTAAGTATAAAATCTTCTACTTACGAGAATATAATTTTTTCGGTGTTCTCAAGGCAATTACAATAATAAACAGATAACGGCATTAGGTACAAGGCAACACATATCAAGCCATTCGGCTAAGTCGAAATATTTAAACAGAATTCACTTTCAGGCGCTTACATATATTTATTGTTAAGAGGTCGCGCGTGTGGCTGTTCAAAATTGGTGACGCTCGGTGACCGTTAATAATTGAAACTCTGACGAAGCGTTTAGGCCGTCCATTAGAAGCACGACGTTCGTCATTATTAATAAAATCATTCAATTTTCCGCTACAAAAAAAAAAAAACAAAAAAAATAAAAATAAAATAAAAATTCTGCAAATTTTTAAATAATAAAAGTTTGGAATGTTTTTATGAACAATTTTTATACGTTATAGTTTCTCCACGAACGCTATAGAGATTCATAACCGTGGGCTAAATTGAATGAAAAAGTTTTATTCGAGCGTCGATAAATTTGAACAGCGAAATATTTTTCGGAATATTTTTTTTGTTTTTTTTTTGTTTTTTTTTATTTTAACCAAGCCAATCGAGAGCTTGTATGAACGTGTTGTTGAAATTTAGACGTCAACGCGCGTTCTGCCAAAAATTGCGCGGTTCTTGTTGCAAATACAGCGGTTTGTTTAGTTCGGGCCGCGAGTGTCAAAATATTATGAGCAATGCAACACAGTTAAAGCTCTCTCTTCGCATCGACACAACATGGGGGCTCGGCCGCAGGTTGGAAACAGAAACTTGGTTTCTGTTTCGTTACGTACGAAACACGCCATCCCTCGCGCTCCACTCAATGTAATTAGAATTACATCGACAAAAGTCCTTGACAGCGGGACTATAACACCATCCCCGCCGCGGCTCTGCCCTGACCTCAGTTTTCGCAAACTCGGCTAACTGCGACCCTGTGTTCTCTTCTCCTCGACTCCCTCCGCCGAAACTATCGACCCGTCCCCGACACCGGCAGCAGGAGAATTTGTTTTTGTCGATTCAAACGAAAGCCGACGCTTCCCCGTAGACGACGACCATTTGCATTTATCCGCACTGTGGAAAAATGCGATTCGGGGGAATTTCAAGAAAGCCCGGAGTAATTCCGAAAAAAAAAAGCGACGGCGCGCGGATGATGTTCGTGGGACCGATTTATTTCCGCACAGCAGCGTGAGCGAGATCAAAATCAAATCAAATCTCGGACGAAGGTAATTTAAACGTGACAAATTAAATTAAATTAAAATGAATTCGCGCGCGCATTTAGAGAGTACATTCCATTTTATGAATGACATTCTCGACATATATACATATATGTAAAAAACTCGCGTTATATAATTATTCGTGAAACGCTCGACACACGCACGCGCACGCACGCACGCACACAGAATAAATATCAAGTGATTTATTGAATTCCATGTATTTATCGGCTTCTATCCTTTATTAACAGTTATTTACTTTGCCAATTAGTTGATAAAATTATTTTATTTACACGTTTATTGATATTAATTATAATGTTATTAATTACAAAATTACTTGCTTAACAAATAATTGTATGCTTGTTTGTTGATTACTTCCGCGGTCGGGAAAAAATCGTTTGTTCTCGTTTTGACGCTCGAGACGCTCGTAAATTGTATTGCGCGACGTATAATCGCGAGAGGAGGAGGAGGTTTCGGCCGACGCGATTCGTCATTCTGTCAACTGCACATTAAGCGCGCTAATTCTTCCCTTCGTGTAGGTGGCAAACGCGCGAATCGAAATTATTACTTAACGTTTTCTATTTTCGCGAGCGCGAATCTCAATTTCAATTTGAGATTTCCGTCGTAGTCGCAATCGAGAAGTTGTACATCGACAAACATAGCAAAACTCGCGTAAATTCGCACATCGGTTACATATATATGTATATAGACTTCCACTCTCTCTCTCTCTTGAAATTCTTCATCAATTATTATTCTCGATTTATATCATCGTTATATTGACTGTCACATTTGATCAAGAGTGTGTAAGCAATTCCGGTTCGAAAAGTTGATTTCAAAATATTTTATCGGTTTTCGATACGAATAGTATCGAATAGTATCTCTTGAACGCGACGATGTTTCGAAATAAAAATATATTCAATGATTTGTGTTGAGTCATATGTTTTTTTTATCCTTCCCGACTTTAATCACTTCAAATTGTCGCTTTACCGCTCGTTTTTGTAATGAAAAAATTCTTTAACGCTTACTAGATAGAAAGAAACAGTGAATCATCATTGTTATTAAGCGACCGCACACAGGAAATCGTAAACTATATAGTTTTTTTCTCATGTATATGTAATAATTTTGCGAGAAATTAGTCTCTTCCTTTTACCTATATGTTTCTTGCAAGTTTTAGTTTTTAAATATATCACGTCCTTTTACATATTCTCTTTCTTTTTGTTTAACATATGTATTTATTAAAATTAAAAGTATATTTTTTAAAAACTTAAAATATTATTTATAATGAGAATCATCACGGGCTCTATCTTTTCTAAACTAATAAATGAATGGTCGTAAAGAGCCGTTCGCCGGATGTTGTGCGGATAAATGTGCGTATAAATGTAAGAATACATTTTTCTATACGCTTTCACGTGTAAATAA